CTCATCGCTGGTTTTATTTGATACATCTAAACAACAATAAACATTCGCTGAAACAAATTTTTAGCTAGACTCAACATAACACAGATTCATTTACTAGTTCCTACTCCTTCGGCGCCATTAAATACCAGAACAAGTTTCTACATAATATTCCTTGCAGTTCTATCATAAGAATCTGTAGGAAAAATATTGTCCAGTATTTCGAACGTTGTTAAAACAGATTAATAATTTTGTCTCGTTATGCTTCTTTCCTTCTCGTCGATTTGTGCCATATATCTGCTGGCTTTCTTGTATCTGTTTTATTCTTTTTTCTCATCCTCTATTTTTGTTTGTTTTACAACAACTTCTTAGTCTCCGTATTAGTCGTCTTATTAATCGTTGTTATTTGTGTTCATGACTATTTCTAGTCCCTAAAATTTCAGTTCAGTTCAAAAATATCAGAGTGTAGAAAAATGTTTGTTCTAATTCTACGTTTAATAGCAAGTTTTTCTGATTTGTATCAGTAAAGAACTACAAAAAATACGATAAAAACATTTAAAAAACATTTGTTTTTAACCCAAAGTGCCCTGTACAGTTTAAGGTTCTACAGTAGTTTGCCAATCTGATTTAATTGACCCATCATTCATTATATATGCCATTATTTCACGCGTTTCTATCTATAATTTGAATAAAATTTAAAAAATTTTATATTTTCCCAGTACGTGTGTACAAATCAACTTTTGTAATCGGATACGTCATTTTAAACGAGAAAAACAACTGAAATACAAGTAATTATTCAAACAGATATACAGCGAGATATAGTACGATTTCGATCATAATGACATGAAGAACTCCTTATAATCTTAACCCTTTAGAACCAGGGATGTCACAAAGGCAAACAAGTGGGTGGAGAGCGGAATCTCTAAAGAGTTAACATAGTATGAGATTCGAAAAGATTTTCTCAACAGAGATGGTGTGAAAAATGTTGAAAAATAATTTTTTCTACAGACGAAAAGCAATACTTTCTTTTGTACACAGATATCCACATAGACGTGAGTGTTCATGAATATCTTTCTATTTTCTTATTACCTATCGCTGTTTAGCACAATTTTTTATATAGTAATATAGCGTAACATTTTGAAATAAAATAGACATCAAACAATCCACTTCGAATATCGATCAATGACTTTCTCAATTAACAAATCGTTTTATGACAAAAAAAGAATTAGTAAGATTATTGTTTCACTTTTAAAAACGATGCGACACGTGTATATTAACAAAAAAAAAAAATGTTTTTATAATAATGATCATCCTAATCAACAAATGAGAAGAGAAGAGAGACATGGTTAGGTAAAGTGTCGGTAGTGTCATTGATACCGACTCAGAGAGATTTATGTCAAAAGGGTACTTGAAAAACAAATAATTAGAAAATGATCTATAGATGACGATGCAATAATAGGAATATCGAATTAACAAGACAAACCTAGCCTCTTCATCCTTTTTATACTCTTTCTCTCATTCTCTCTCAAAAATCAAGTCAAGTACTCAAATGAATGACAACGATCAAAGCAACAGAAAAATGATCGTGCTGAGTACATCAGAGCATCTTTCTAACTCCGTCTGAAGAAGAAAAAAAAATCGGACAAAAAAATTGAGATTGTAAATCTAAAAACACACAATAATATCTAATTAAATTTCAAAAATGTAATAAGATATTCTAATTTTTTACTGTTGCAATAAATTAGTAAAATAGTAGATTTTATATTCAATCATCGATTGAGTATAATTTCGTATTTTTTAAGATACTTTTATTTTCAATACATATCATTAAAATTAATTTTGATTTGTTATATTTGAATTTCTTTAGCGCAATATCGTTGATTTGATTTTAATGTTAAAAACTCAATCTTGGTACAGGATATCTCGTTTAATTCTCGGATTAATTAATTCATCACATGATACTTTTTCGGACAACATTGATGTTGTGTGTATACGTATGCGTTAATTGTTTTAGTAACCACTTCATCCTTTCCCTCCTGTGGTCATTCCATTTCAATATACAAATCAATTGATGTTTCATCATAATATTGAGAAAGAATCCAATCTTTTTCTTCTTTCGTGAGAAAAGTCAACCTGTTTTAAACCTTTGGGCATGCAACATGAAAACGGTCTTTTGTCTTTATCTTTCTTTTTTTTAAAATACAAAAACAAAAAAAAAACTTTTCCTTTTCTAATCAATAAAATATTCGTTTTTTTTTTTAAAATATGATTTGTTTATCTTATGCCGGAAAAGTTGTATCGAGTACTATCTATATCTGTTAGCTGGTGATTATATACATCATCTTATATTCTTTTTCAAGTATGGAAGAAACCATAACAATGACCTAAAGCAATTTTGATTTTAAAAATAATAACAAGTAGGTCTTCTTTTGTATTATGCACAAAAGAAAAACGATCATTGTAAAGACAAAATTGGCATTCAAAAATAACATAACGGCTTTGTATTCAAACATCAGCTAATTTCTCTTATTTCGTTACATAAAACACGTAGAACAACTCCCGTAGCAATTTTACTCATTTTGCATGGAAAAAAATCAATATTTATCTAAATATATATTTACCATCTTAGCTGTAGTTTTTGTTTCTTCAAATATGTTGTTACTATTTTATTTTTTTAGTAAAAGTTATTTAGTACGTGATTTTCTGTCCATCTATACATGATTATATTCTGAATTGTGCTACGAGGTGGAGAACTGCAATATTGAAAATACCTTCTAGATGTTCAGACATATTTAACTATATAATTCAATATGTGGATGAATTTCTGACTAGATCTTTGAATAACAAGGTTCATGCTCTATCAGATAATTACCTGTACTTATAAATGCTTGACAGTCAGTTTCTGTTTACTGCTGATTCAAATAGTCAAATATTTTCCGATTTGCAGAGATTATACCGTCAATGTCTAAAAATTTTCTTGTTAAACCGTGTCTACCGTTCCTATAATATTTTTTAAAGTTCTTTCACGTTCAGACACGAACAGTTATACGTACGAGTATGGAAAATCGCAAAAATGAAATAAATAAATGAAATCATAATGAATGAATCACTGAAACTGTCTGTATATCACTACAAAACACTACTGTAATAGTTATATGAATCTGAAGTTAAATGTTTGTAAACAGTGATGCAAACTGTGCATTATTCGGTCAGTATCGACTGGGGATATGAAAAAGCGAAGAAAAAATACTGGCGAAACGTGAAAAAAATATTTTCGCACTAGGGAGAAAACAATAGTTTTCAATTATTCGGTGAATATTGTCTCTGAAATTTTCCCCTTATTGGTCGCGACAGTCCTAATAGTTCCATGACACTATACTAATAACAAAAGTGATTCGATTAGAAACAAAAAATGAGAAAATCTTCAATTTCTTTTGTGGACAACATAAGCATCGTTAGTAATCAATGGTTCATTATTTCCGAGTTTCTCAGACCTATTCGAAGTTCTGTCGTGAGTTTGCACTACAAAAATGATTGGGACGGATGCTTTTTTCTAGAAGGCTCTATCTGTGTCTTTTTTTACATCAAAACACTAAAATTTAAAGAAGTTTTTAAGTATCTCTGACTTAGTTTCTAACGCACTATAGACTAAAAGCATTTCTGAGCTGCTGACACGATCCACAGTCCGTCATTTTTGAGATGAGATAATGCATTGTAAGAATTTGTATACTGTGCATGTAAATGATGTATTTTTTCGTTGGTGCTTTTTTCTGCCATGTGACCGAAAAACTAGTATTATCTTTCACCCATGATAGATGGAAATGTTGGATTTGCTTGAACATATAACAGATACTTGAACTGACATCTTCTGTGACTGATAGATATTTAAAAGTGCAAATAATAGACCATAAATCTCGATTTCTAAAAAGCCCTTTGAAAAGTTCAACTAGAAAGACTTTCTTTTTACTGTTTTCACTTCAAGTCATTTATATTAGGGAATTAAGCAGACAAATACTATATGATTAGCAATTTTACATAGTCATGGTTACTTTTTCATTCTTTAGGTTTTGGATTTCCAGTCATGGATGTTAGAATTTCATCAGCATTAAGTATATATATGAGTATAGAGGTAAAATAAATAAGCAAGCAGAACTCATAATGAGACATATTATGTTAGATTTTAGCCTAGAAAAGTAAAGATTCATAAATTGACAGTTACCAAGCTATTTCATTATTCAACAACACCTATTACAAGATGTATGTTCCTAATCTAAATGAATTGGTACTTTAGGACTTCTTGAAATGATTAGTTTTCTGTGTAAGAAATGCTTAAAATTGACAAAATCAGATAGTAGATACCTCTTTTCAATCTAAACGTATATGAAAACGTCAATTCAAAATCAATATTGATAAATTACTTTTTGATATGAACAAAAGGGCTACTTTTCTTTTTTTTTTGTGCCGAATCTAGGATTATGATTTTATGTATATATATATATATATATGTACACATTTCTCTCGTACCGACAAATAAAAGAATAGTGTACGTACTGTACTATACATATACTTTGTCATGATTTATTTTATTTTATTTCTTTTCTGTTCTCTCATATGTGTGCAAATAGAAAAGAGAACATAAAACAGCATTGGTTAGAATAGCAAAAAACTGGCTCTTTAAAAAAACAAAAAAAATAACAAGAAAAAAATTTGTTCGTCGTTCTTTCTTTTTGGTCACCTTCACTACTATTGCTTGTCATCTGTGTGTTGTTAATCATTTTGTGATGCTACATTGGTTATTACGTATGTTGCATTAAACAGAACAACTATCATATTTGACGACAATTGCTATTAATAATCAATATTATCATTATCACTATTGCAAAACGACTAAAATAGAGAGAAGAAGAAGACGAAAACGATACTATAAATAAAATAAATGTCCAAGTTACCATCATACTATTCTATTCAAAATATTTTGTTCGTCTATAATATTCTATTTAATATTCAACAATTGATATTCAATAATGATTGAACGTTTACCAACACAGCCAATAACAATTATTAATCAAAATAGTACAAATATTAACGGGAGTAATTGTGGCGAGTTATCAATAACAACAACAGCAACAGAAAAAAATGAAGTGAGAATTTCTATTATTTGTAATGATTATATTTTTTTCTGACGAACTATGTTGAATTCTTACACACAATAAATTCTCAATTTTTAGTCATTTTTCTTCAATAAAGGTCACTAGTGAATAGTTCAGATTAGTAATATTTTGATATTTTAGTTAATTCAATTCATCTTCTAACATTTTTATTGCTTCATGAAAAAAGAAGCAGATCTGATTGAGTTTTATACTAGAAATCATCCAACATTTATAGAGCTGTTAAAGTTTGACTTGTTCATGTGTATAAAATGCATTTTCGTACATTTCACAAGAAAATAGTCGAACTCATATACAACGGTGATATGTTCTAACAGTGAACTTAAATTAACAGTTTTATTTTATCTTTAGTTTAGCGTTTAAGATATTTGTACAGATGAAATAAAATCGAAGTCTTTCGTGATATCAACTGGTATTTTGTCAGTTTGAATTCTGTGACATCAATGTGGACTCTTTGAACTTTTTCAAAAAACCACACCCATTTCCTTAAAAGGTTAAAATCTGTATTTTCTTTTTTTTAATCAAAAAAGCAAAAAATAATGTGCATGTGGATCTGTTTCTACAGATTGTATCTTTTAAAATACACACACACACACACACTCACGCAGCCGTTTGTCTTTATACTCGAGAGATACTTCTGTTTTATGTGATAATAGGATATCAATTTACAGTAAATAACTTTCCAGAAATTCAATTATGTAAGTCGTGTATAATGATGGTCAGTTAGATAAAATCTCAAGTCTTCTGTGATGATGATGATGATGATGATGATGGTGACGAATTATTCCTCTATTTCAAATGTATTTACCTTTAGTTTTTCTTTCTTCTTAATAGTAACTATTCCTATGACTGTGTTTTGTTCTCTCTTTACATTGCATTTACATCGTGATACTACCCTTTTTTCGATAGAAATATGAACAAAATAATAATAATAATAATAATAATAATGCAATTTTCTGAAAATAAATATCTAGAAATGTGAGCAAACTAATTTATACACTAAAAAGTCTATATTTCAATTCTTTTTCTTCTCCATTTTAGTCTCAAAAATTTTCCTATAATAATTACGATATTTCAAATACAACGAATATAAAACCAATTGAATGTTCTGGCTGTTATCAAAAGATTGATGAAAAATATTATTTATTTGTTGCTGAAAAATGTTGGCATTTAACATGTTTAAAATGTCATGAATGTCAAATGGTATTGGATACTGAATTAACATGTTATTCAAAAGATGGACTATTTTTTTGTCGAAAAGATTATTACAAGTAAGTGTAATAGTTAGTTCTTAAACAAAATAAAGTCGTTTTGACAAGATGGTAAAATAATAGATTTTTTTTTTTCTTTTTGTTTTTTATGTCGCGTGTATATAATGAGACATAAAAATATCTGTTTATCATTTGATTGATACACTTTCTCATCCTTCTCTCTCATTTATCTCTATTGAAAAATGGACATTTAAATGTACATGAAATGTCAAACGATTTGTAATAAATATCTTTGTGAAATTACTAATAGTAATAAATTAGCGAGAGAAAAATTGAAAAAGAAAGAGAGGGAGAGAGAGAGAGAAGCGTTCATGCGTGTGAAAATTCCGTTTAATTAATTATTTAATGTGTGAGTGTAAAAATCAAAATCATTTTAATAGTAACAAATGATTATGATGGTATCCCACCAATCATTATGAAATATATTTATATTGTAACTTATCAGAGAACAAAAAGTGAAAGAGCAAGAGTTTGTACAATAAAAGTACTTTGACTGTTTTATTAAATGTCATAAAGAAAACATTCAAGATGAAAACTTTGACATTGTAACGAGTTTGGTTTTTTTAAAAATTTATTTATAGAGCCGTCGACGAATTTTGCACTTTTTATAAGAAAAAAAGATTGCCATAATCTTTTTCGTTCTCTTTATGAAGTCAGAAAGAATCAGTGAGTCAATTGGAGGAGAAACTCGTTATTAGAAAGAGAAAGTAACGATTGTACTTTAATTTCTCATACATTTGCGAAAAGTCTTAAATATCCAGTGATAATTTAGTTTGATCGAGAATTTTCAAAGTTGAATGAAAGCCAATTTGTTTCATTTTATAAAAATAAAACAGTAATTTTGTTTGAATGTCGTTAAAAGTATACTGAAAAGAAAGGAAACGCTTTGTTTTCGTTAGCTGAAGTGCAAGAAGAAAATCCGCTCTAGACGCTCTAATTTGGTTGGTTCTCTCATTCATAAATGTTCAATATTAAGAATTTTCAATTCATCTGTGAGATATTAATTGTCGATATGTCCATTCTGCATAAGTACACTGAACATAGGCAGAATCGTGACATCTATTTATATTCTTTATAGAAAGACACTCGTATACAATTACGTTGAAAAAAATGATGTGCTATTGAAATGTTGACCCTTTATCACATATCAATATGTCAGATCATATCTCTACATATCTTTCTACACAATATTTTGTGTTTCAAATTAATTAGTAATTGCGCATGATTTTTGATTTCTTAAAAACAATTTTATTTTAATTTACATCGACGAGCATATCAATTTCTTATACGTTTAAGTATTTCTTTTTTGTCATTTCCTAAACTTTAATTTTGAATCGTTTTTCCGATAAGTTTATTTTTTTTCTCACAGTAGGAGTTCAACGTCTAAATTTGTCTTAACCCGTAGGCATTTCTCATTCATTCCCAAGTATAGAACACTCTTATCCATCTTAATCGATTTATATATTGATCATAATCTCTAATTGTTTTGTTTTCCAGTTTGAATCTTTTTCTTTCCCCCTCTCTCTCTCTCTAAGTGATTTATCCTTTCGAGGGCTATAGTTTACTACTACCGCCCATTGGGAGTATATTGTATTTCATAACAGCAGGAATATTTTGCTACTGTCAACCATCTGTTATTAGAGATATCGTATGTGTGTTTGATTTTATTTTATGGTACATAACAACAATGACGAGGTCATTTGATACGAGTTCATAGACTTTAATCTTAAATAGATATATATATATTCAAACAAATCAATTTAGTAATTGATAATGATGATGACTAACAAAAATTTCTCTTTTCATTGTTTTGTCTGGTGATAAAGATAAATGAAAAAGTGTTTGTGATCTTTTCTTCTTTTGCTATTTCGTGTCTGACATATCACTATGACAGTTCAATATTGAACAGAACAGTGAACAAAAATCAAACAGGTCGAATGATAAGAGATGATAGACAAGAATTAACAGGTGGTGGACAGCTCATAAAAAGTCTCTATTTATACTGGATATACCACCAGTAACGTTAATTCTATTATTACTATCATCCATTTTCTTTTTAAGATGTTATGGCCGTTATCGTTGTCATAAATGTCATCAATCATTGACACCCAATGATCTCATCCTACGTACATGTGATTATTTATATCATGTTAATTGTTTCTCATGTTGTCTATGTCAACAATTATTACAACCTGGTGACGAATATGGTTTACGTGATTCATTTTTACTATGTCGATCACATTTTGAACAATCATCATCAATTTTTGGTGATCAATTATTACCACCATTCGAAGATCAACACCTTGAATCTTCATCAACAGAGTTTATTCCAACAGATCCAAATTGTACAATACAACCTTTTTTTTCCACAAAATCAAATCGCCAACAACAAAGTAGAAAACGAAAATTAAATGATGTTGAAAACGATTACAGTATTCATCATTCAACAACAGGTAAGACTAAATAAATAAATGATGAACAACGCATTGTTTATCTAAAGATTGAGAGACAAAATTACGCGTCTTAAACAGATAGTTTAACATCCGTCGTTTTATATGTGTTTTATCACAGAGGCGTGGAATAAGATTGACACGTATTTATCAAGAACACGCCTCAACATTATCTATTCAACTATTCATATAACAAGAGATCAAGTTTAACAGAAATCAATGGTTGAAAGATCTATTTCACTATGAAATAAATAGAACATTAAGAGACTATGATTTCAATTCACAGAGTTCTTTATAACTCCTTTTATAAAAGACGAATTTAGCTTAATCTTCTAAATAAATATTTATGAATACAAACTACTATAGTTTAATAGAAGATCTTTACAGTCTTCCGATTTCTTTATAAATTCATTTTCACTTTGAAATCATGTTTTTTTTTCTACCATTTTCCTTATCTACTTTATCCAATAGATAAGATAATGTTATATAATACCTGTCATTTCAACTTGACTTATTTGTAGAATCATTATGAAAATGTTCAAAAAAATTGATCAGATACATTTTTTTTCTACTACAATGAATAAATGAGTGCACTTTTAACAGCACAATATCTTCTCTCGTCCATCATCCTTTCCTGACAGACGGGATGTATTGAACGATGAAAGTAATTCAGTAATGGAAATTTGATTCAAATTAAAGAAAAACCTAACATGATAAACAAAAAATCATTTTTAGATAGACAAAGTAGTTCGAGATTATGAAATGACTATGAAAAAGAACTCCGATTTATAGAGTACTGTGAAGCTCTTTGGTTAATCGTGTTGATTTTTGTTTACATTAGGTCTGTTTCCCGATGATCGTGAAAATTCAGTATTGAGTGATACATTTTTATTTCAACAACAAATTCTTAATTCATCATCATCATCATCAGTCATGACTGCTTATCAACAGCAACAACAACGACAAAAGCGAATGCGTACAAGTTTTAAACATCATCAATTACGTATTATGAAAACATTTTTTACCAGTAATCATAATCCAGATGCAAAAGATTTGAAAAATTTAGCACAAAAAACAGGTTTATCAAAACGTGTTTTACAGGTAAATGATATTCAGATTTTTAGAAAAACATTTCTAAATTTCCTTTTTTTTCTTATAGGTTTGGTTTCAAAATGCTCGTGCAAAATATCGGCGTAGTTTACTTCAAGATCAAGATACGAAACAAGAGTCTTCATCATCTACAACATCAGCTTCTTCTTGTACTACAAATGGCATCTCCGAGGATACAATTATATTAAATCGAAAAGAATCTGAACTACTGGATATGCTCACAGACGATCATTCAAGTGATGGTGGTCACGGTGATCTAAGTCGAGACTCTATTACAGATACAGATTATCATCAACTATCATCTTATATTGATGATTATGCTTAGAAAAAAGATACACTGTAGCATATACTCTAAAAAGAGAGATTTATTCCATGCGATAATGGTAGATATATCTACTGTGATCGGATTCACAGTTTCGCTCTTTACATCGGGATCACATCGAAGATTAGTTCTCTTTTATACTATTTTATTGTGATATTCTGTTTTTTCTTTTTGTTTGTCTCATTCTACTTACTATACTGACCTACAGAGTTCAATTCTGAGAAATATAGTAGTTGTTATTTCATGTGCTCATCTTCCTTCCCTGTATATATGTTTGATGTTGGCATGGTACTGTTAGTAATGATAATAATGACGTGAGTGAATGTTTGACTTGGAACAGGTAAAGAAGAAAAAAAAAAAAGACAAGAAATATGGAAACGATTGAGCAAGTTGTGTTCATTAGAAACATACGTACTCAAAACATGTACACAGTAGAAGAAGAAGTGAAGAGAAGAAAAAAAAACTCATATAATAAAATATTCAATCGAACATGTAGAAACACAGACCATTCATAATATTTACATTCACTTGGATAATTGGAGGCGACGGTTGAGATTAAAGACGAACGGATACTGTGTGAGATGTTTTATAAATAAATAATGAGAATTTTATAAGATGAGGTTCCACAAAAAAGGAATAAATGGGACTGTATGAGTAAAAACATATGCAGTGATATCATACATGAAATTTTTATACAAGTATCGTGACATGAAAGTGAAAAATACGAGTTCAAAATAACTGAAAAAATTGTTAGTAAAAAATCTTATGTAATTGTATAAATTTCTGCGATTTTTCAACACCAACAATGAGTGGCATTTTTATCTGCAACAATGATTGATGTTTTTTTTTGTTGTTTCTAACACGATCGACATTCTTGGCTTTCATTATTTACCATCGTTGTTCCGAAACTCAAACAATGATCGTGATATACAAAAAAAATATTAATGTGAGAAATTGTGTATTTTTAACCGGTTGAGACACCCAAAACTAAACTATTTACTTGAAGAAAAGGACATAGATCTGTGTCTACTATACGAATGTATTCAAGTAATGAACAAATAGTTATCCTAGGTAAATCAAACAATATTTTGAACAAACAAAGACAACGAGAAAGAAAATAATGAAGACATTTAACTTATGATTATTGACACACAATGTGAAAAAGAAATGTGGACATATAGACATTTTACGCACGATGTATTTTTCATAAGTATAATATGTAAAGATTACTAAAATCATAGTAGGGTCTCGTTCAATACTACAAAAGTGATCTCTGCTCTAAAATAAAAGTCAAACAAGAGAAAAATGTACTACATTTCATAGTTGGATAAAACAAGACTTTCTCTGGAAAATGTTTTGCCATAGACAATCGATTATTCTTTCTAACAGAAAAAACTCTCCAAGAGTAAGTTAAAATATTGCAAAGGGTAGATAATTCGTGATTCTGATCACAAATTTGACATTTGAAGCTTAGGTCGATTTCAAGAAGTTGATCGGCAGAAAACCAGAAAAATTGCATCACGGTGATCTTGTACAGTATCTCACACAACCGATGTTCCGTTGCTTTGTAGTTTATCGAGTAATGGACAGAATTTCAGGAATTCTACTGCGAATGTTCGATCAAAAGCCTGACGCAACAGTAACTCACTGTATGTCGTCAAAAAATTGAAGAGTCAATTGAACAGTTCATAAACTGCATATATTTAATAAAAATGTGGGATATTGTTCTTAATTTAACCATTCAAAGTTAGTTTCTGAAATTGAGATTTTAAGAGCTTGCTTTTAACTCGCTATGTTCATTTATCACATTCATTTTTTTTTTCAAACAAATTAAGGTATCTTTCTCTCTTTATCTCTCATACTTGATTAATTCCGGAAGTTTGTTCTCTTTTTCGTTTCTTTTTTTTTTTCTGTTATCTAGACCACCTATAACGACTCAGTTAATCACGAAAAAGAGCCATTGTTCAAAAACAAAATGTTTTTTTTTCTTTTTTTTTTTTGTGAAACATGAACTATTCTCTTCCTCGTGGCTCACACGATTGATTTATCAAGCAAAGCATGTCAATTTCTCTTTCTCCTCTCGTATAATTAGTACAATTAAAATAAAAGCACACGTCATTAAAAATTGTTTAAGCCTCTCTGACAGGAATGACACGTAATATATTGAAGTAGAGCCACGTGTATATCTGTGATTTTAAATAATATCTCATTCATAATAAGGTTACTTAAAATGGGTTTAAATCTGTTCTCAGAATAATACTATTTGACATAGACATGCAATATTTAGAGGAATATGTAGACAATATTAGATTTAGTTGAATGTAGAATTAAAAACAAATTTTGATATGTCAAGAACTTTAAAAAATGGAGATCATATCAAAAACTCATCTTTCTGAAGAAACATTGCAATATAAAACTTATAGAAATTGAAACAGTTCCATATAGATTAGAAAACTTTTCACCAGAAAAATCGATAAATTTCTCCATTTGAAGTACTTTCTTAATTTTCTGTCAAACAGTTAATATATTTACTAGTAAATTTATTCTAAAAAAGCAATTATTCACATGATTCTCATATTAGAAAATCTTTTTATGTAAATAATGTTTGTGATTGTGTTAGTTGATCTGTTTAGTATACGATTAATTTTGATCACCTATGTGTGTCTAATCGTCAATGTACGTACATTTATTAATAAAAAACATTATCCAACATTCTAATCTAGCGACTGTATAGTCCGCCTACTAACGATAGATAATCTGATATCATCTCTTATTCAAATTACCAATGATGCATTTGATATAATTTTTGTCGACCTGTCGAAAAATAAAAAAACATATGATAGAATGGCAACAGTAAAAGTAGAGAGAGATTGTTCTGCTTCATATGAACTATACATATGTACTATATTAATGAAAGCATACAAACTATGTTTTAGTTCTTAGTTTAATTAGCACATTTTTGGACAAAATAAAAAAAGTATTGAACTTCCATCATTAATTCATGTGTAACGGTTTCATTTTACTACTAAAAGTAGAAATGATCTTTATTGTATATTCGATCATTGTGACAGTATGTATTCACATAAAAATGTAAAAAATGTCAACAACATGTTAATTCTGCAGGGCCTGGTCACATAACTCTGATACGGAAAATTCAGTTAGATTTTTTTTTTTGCTTATTATTCGTCTTATAGATGAAAATACATTCAGAGCTTGGCAACGTCTTAAATTGAAGAGAAAAGTGTGTTGAACATTTTAAGATGTTCTCGCATTCTACACATTCCATAATTTAGAGAATATAGTTGTATAACCAATTACTATTTTTTCAAAACGTATCGGAAAAAATATGTCCTGGTTTTTTTAGTTATACGTCGTGAGGAAAAAAATATGTAAGGAGTGGGAACATCTCAAAATGTTCAACATACTTTTCTCTTCAACTTTAGACGCTGCCGAGCTCTGCATGTGTCCTCATTCGTAAGCAATAAGAAGAACAATAAGCAAAAAAAAAAACGTTTCGGACTTTCATCTTTGGTAGCAGAGTTACATGGTTAAACCCATATCGGTATCTAAATTTCGATGAACTTTTTCGTACAGTTGTCAACCAACGTCAATGTAGCTTTTTTCTTTTCTTTTTTGTAATTTAAGTCAGACAAACACACCGATAGTCTCCATGTGTATTACTTTCTCTCTTTCTCTCTCTCTATCTAAAACAATGATGTCATCGATGATGTCGATCGTTAGATAAACAGTCGACTCAATTCAGGTATATTAGTTCATTTAGAAACCTTATGTGAGTGTAGTTACTCGTATATTGTACAAATAGAACAAGTCTGTTGTTGTTATTGCAATCCAGGGATGCATTCCGTTAGGAATAAAACACCTGCCCTTCTAAAGAAAAAAAAAACACACAACAACACAATACGTGTGTTTTAGCACAGAGAGAGAATAAAGGTCAAATTAACAGAAATAAGCTTTAATTTGATTGTTGATATTCATACACACTGTTCTAGTAAAAATAATATTCACAATATGATATATTAACTCATGTCAATATTTTATCAGTGAACCAAGTCACTTTTAAAAGAGTTTGTACAAATTATTAATCTATTTCTTTTCTTTCAAATAACAAATACTCATCTGTTCCATCATTAAATGAAGAATTTTTTTTTTTTCTTGTAATGAATAGCGATTTTTGACTTATTTTATCTAACATTTCATAAAAATCATATAATATTTCCGAGAGAACAGTTAACTTCTCTCTTACCCCATTTGAGATATAAATATATGTTATGTTACTATTTCTTGGCCCATATTGAATAATAAATCACTGATAAAACAAGGTTTTCGCTTTCTTTTCTTTTCTTTTATAATAAAAACCATGAAGAAAACGAACGTGGACAAATAAAAACAAAAAAAAAAAAGAAGTAACTCGACATACATGAATAAATGACTAGAATTTCGTTTTCTTTTTCTTTGTATGAAAAAAGAGACTATTAAATGCAAATAATAAAGAATTCTTTTATTGTAATGATAGAAAAAAAAGAAGAAGAAATGTTTCTTATATCGATCCACATGTTTCTGATTCGCTCATATTTAATGATGACGTTTTTTCCGATTCGGCTGGTGATGACATATTTGACGAATCTTCACCACCACAATTATTTTTAGACGATGAATTTATTGCTGTTGTTGATGATGGATTACCATCGGTAGTCGTTGTATTACTACCACTTGTACCAATACAATCTGTTCTAGATACACTACGTCGAAATTTGGCACGAGCATTTTGAAACCAAACCTAAAAAATTAATTTTATAATATACATAAAGTTAATATTAAAATGTCTAAAGTATTTTGAACGTACTTGTAAGACACGTTTTGGTAAACCAGTTTTTTCTGCTAAATTTTTTAGATCTTTTGCATCTAAAATAAAAAAATTTAATAAATAAATTATCTAATATTTTTGAAATTTATAAAAATTTGAATACCTGGATTATGATTTAAATTAAAATAGGATCTCATACACCTTAATTGATGATGTTTAAAACTTGTTCTCACACGTTTTTGTCTTTGATGATGACTATGGCTGTGATGTGAATGTTGTTGAGACATAGACGATGGATCATTGAGCAATGAATTTTCAACATCATCCAAATAATAACCGTCTAGTGGAAATAAATCGGATTGTGGACCTTGAAAGACAAAATATATACGATTTTTATTTTATATTTAGTTCTTTTGAAAGATGGAAGAAGAAGAAGAAGAAGAAAAAAAGGAGTTGATAACATATCACTTTTAACATATGCATTATCAATTTTCTTTTTAAAATTAACAGACTATCGTGTGTATAGACTTATCAATGCGTTAAAAATATCGCATGATTGAGAAGATTGACAGTTCTAACATGTGTTAGTACACAGGTGACCGAAAGAGCATACGTCTGAACTAAACGCCCGACATCATAAACAATTATTAACTGTATTTTTTTATTTTTTAAAAGAAAAAATAAATTAGGCAATGCGATGATGTGGTTTAAGTGTTATTTTTTTAGTGGTGATCACTTGAATATTCAAACAATTATTTTAATCGTTGTTTTTCAAGTATATATCACTTGAGAATAGATCTATTATCTTATGAACAATTGTTTTGTAAGAAGAAGAAACAGGTATGTCAATAGATGAATAGAAAAAAACAAGTGTGAAATATTGAGAATATATTGATACTAAATAGAGAATAGAATTAGTTTGCTTGATTAGTTAACATGACTACTTATCGTATACAATTGACAAAAGAGAATAGAATATTTTTTGTCTAAGCCTGTATTAAAACGAATATTTTTAACCATAATCATATAACTTAGTAATATCATCTATAAAAGATCTTTTAGATATGAATTAAAACTCTCATATGTATTACAAATTATAATGATTTACTATTTAAATAGTTTCCTAGTAGCATAATTCAAGACAAAATTTATGTATTTCTTATTAATATGAAATGATAAGTAGATCTATATCATTACTAATCGTTTTTAAAGTATCAATTCTATTAACACAAAAGATAAGAATAAAAATGTGTGAAAAATTGAGAGTATTCATTCATAGTATACATTAAAAATTAGTCGCTTGATTAATTTTAAAATACTGGTAACTAAGATGGATTCAAATCCATTAGTAAAAACTCGATTTAACAAAATAAAATATTATCAAAATACTAGATTCTTAATTTTGGTCAACAATTGATTTCAACTTTTCTTTATTTGTTGAAAAAAACATCTTTTTTTCAAAGCAAATCTATGTATAGTGAAAGTGTTCTCTATTTTCATTTTATTATCAATTATGAAAGCCTTTGTTAAACTACCACTCATCGATAACATGATTGAAAAGTGATCGGATAAATAACGTAAATTATATTATCTCGATCAACTTAAATAGCAATTATTTTTGAACAAGTATGAATGAACGAACATTCTTCTATTTAACAAGTGTGAAAAATTGAGAATATTGTGATACTTGATTACTTCATAGATACATACTCACTAAACATGTGAACAAAATAATGTATCTCTACTAATAAATTATAGTTAATTATAGCTAATATATATATTTCAAGCAATAGATATATATTTAGTCTTACCAACTGATGGTGGTGGCGATGATGTTGTAATATAATCTGGTATTTCTTGTCTATCAATTTTTCGTTTTCTTGTACGTTTACCGGTTGATGTTTTTGAATGTGTTCCACCACTACTACCACTGCCACTACCACTACCACTACCATTATTTGATGTGGCTGTTAATGGTAATGAATAATAGCCCGATTCTTCAGGCATGAATGGTAACGGTGAATACTGTATGGAATTTAAATATGCAGATAATTGTGGTGGTGGTGGTGGTGGAGGATGATTTGTTGATGGAGATGATAATAATGATTCATACTCATAATAATGTACACGACAAAATAATTCATCATCTTTTAAACCAAACTCATCACCTAAAGCAAAACAACAATAATTATTATATATTGAGAATAATTTCTCAAGAGAATTATTTATTTACCGGGATGTAATGGTTGATTACATGATACACATGAAAAACATTCTAAATGATATATATACTGTTTTGCACGCATAATTAATTCATTTGGACGAATTAATGTACGACAACGTGAACATATTCGACTACAATAACGTCTAAATAAAAAATAGACATACATTGAGTTTATATTATTCTCGACTATAGTCTATAGTAATATACTTGACATAATCATCTTTACAATAAATTTGTCCATCTCTTGAAAAACATGTCATTTCTCGTTCTAATGACATATTACAATCAAAACATCTCAAACATGATAAATGCCATATTTTATCAATAGCCATTAGATAATAACGTTCTTCTATTTTACAATTACAACCATAACATTCAACCGATCCAACATTATTACTACCACCGCTATTTGTACCACCAGGATCACCAATTTCCAATGTTGGCATACTTTTTACTACTAAAAAAATCCAGAAAAACTTCTATTTATTAACTTTATATTGGGATGTAGTCAATAAGACAAGAGATAATAGTATCTTTTTTTATTGAATATATGTATGTGAATGATGAAAAAAAAAAAGAAGTGAAATATGAGAGTTTTAAGGACCGGATATATTAAATAGAAACAATGAAAAGCAGAACGAAAAAAACTAGAATTTCTATTCTTTTCTAATGGTTGTTTCAATTATAGAGACAAGATTCTCTCCAGTTTAACTTCCGACTCGATTTCTCTTCAACGTTTTTATTTTGTAAGACAACAAGTTTTATCTCATGCTTCACGAATATCTGAAAAATTGCTGTTACCAACCTTATATTCTTTTCAAAATGATCCGTTTTTTTTTCTTTAGAAAATATACGTATTATCTCTATCTATTACGTCAACGAGATATCGATGTCGTTTCTATTTACGAATTTAGTGATTATAACCAAACGAGAAATATCTATAGAGAAGAAGAAAAATCAATATTTAAAAAAACAAAAACTTTTTTCTCAAGTACATTACTACTGATTTATAATTTCAATATTAGAAGATGGTGATCATTTTTTTTTTAATGACTGAAGTTGAACAAACATAGATAAAAAGAAGTAAAAATTGAGCAACTGTAGAAAATATCGTATAGACAAGAAAACCCTGGTTTCCAACTATTAAACGATGATTTTTTTATTCTAACGTTGTTTACACTGCCCGTTTACCGTCTCATTTTGATCTGGATAGTAGTTTTTGCAAAAATAGTTCAATGATTTACTTTTTTTCCTCGCCTTTTAACGAATCAAATTTAAAGTTTATATTGTTTTAGGGTGTCTGAAATTACACGCAACGGTGTGATTTTCCACACATCTTTTCATTTAGTAAGTAAGTATATTATCATGTGAAATAATTTTATTAGAGATATTCTCTTTCTCAAAATAAACAAACACATAAATTTTGTGTTTATTTGAAAAAAATGAGATATGACATAATATTTGATTATAAAAACGAAGCATGAGATGATAATAAAATCGGATGGGTGGTGGTGACCAAACCAGAACGAATAAAAAGCGTGAAGAATTTTTTTTTCTATTTATATTTCCTGTTATTTTGAACACCTGTATAACAATTTAAACAGCTTACTTTTTTTTCTATGTTCTTTCTTCTTCCAGAAAAATAAGTCAAATAGTTATCGTTAATTATTGATAATAATATTTGATGTCAAGTGTGATATGTCAATACAACAAAAAAAAGCAAGAGACTGTCTGTTACCACTACATCTGGATTCGCTTCTCTACACTCTCATGAATTCCTTTTCTTTTCACCTTCTACTACCAATAGAAAATCATCTTCTTAACGGCCAATAAAAAAATTACCCTTAAGGAAAGAAAAAGAAAAAGAATCGTATATTTTTTTTTCTCGCTCTCTCTCTCAGAAGAAAAAAAAACAGTTACGTTTTTCGTTTTTTTTTTTCGTATGATAATAACAGAACATACAAACAGAATAAGAAATTTTTTCACACGCACCTGTTATAACATGTTGTCTGTTGTTTAAAGTTCATAGCTACTACTATGTTTGTGTAAATAAGATAATAGTATTTTGACAAATTTGTACGATTAATGTACGGAAAGATATGTGCAGAATAGAATCAAGTAGTAAACAAGAATGTTATGTGATAATAGCTGCTGGACATCGTTCTATGAATGATAATAAGACTGCAGTACAATCTCTGTTCTTTTCGTATTATCCAACACATTTTCACATACAGTTTTGGTTTATATAATACGATTTTGAATGATTTAGTTTTCGATTTCGTCATTGCCACAATATCTTCGATGTACTTTGTCTAGTTCACAGTCTATAGGTGAAAGTCAACGGCAGCGCTAAACTAGGACAGCTTCCAAGTTCACTAGATTTTGATAAAAAAACATTTTTATTATTATTAATTTATTTTGCCGATTATGAACCTGAATACTTTCGTTAGATTATCTTTTAAATTCACGAGAATCTATAGATACGAGATGTGATAACCTATGTTTATAAATTAATATAGTTAACAAACAAGTTTTCGATCATTTGTTGGAACAGTAGTTCTAAAAATTAGCGTGAATTCACTCTATTTTTTCTTAAAGCTAGAATCATTTTCTCGTATTTTTGGCTGAAATCGGAGTCCTCCTGATCGTTCCGCCACCGTTTGTAAGTTTTTTGTGAATTTTTCAATTGAAATGAATAACATTATTTACATGTCTTTTACGGGAAAAGTGGAGGATACTTTTGACAGCTTTCCTTGCAAGAAACAGTTTAGTATGTACTTCTTTGATATTACTGTACAGTATAAATGTGACTTTATTTTCGAATATGTTTTGTACTCAACTAATTGCACACTTTGCATATTTCTTTGACGATAGATAGCGCTCATTGTCGAACAATCGGGTAGGGCGGAGATTTTAGTACGGTTAGATGATCAGTCAATGACAAAAATGTTCAATAAAATATTGAAATTGTGGAATGTTTTAATATGCATTAGAAAATCTGACGCTTGCTTCGCGCTGAACCAAATTAGATAGATATTGGGTACCCGATACGAAATTTCTCAATGAATCCGATAACGGGCTCCTTTTAATTTCATTTTGACTTCTTTGGTGTCGACATAATCTACGCGGTTTTTGCTTAAATTTTCTTTTCCTCATTGTGAAGTCATAATGAAATCGGATTCACCGAAAAATGTGGCACCTGGCAACAATATCTATCTAAATTGGTTCAGCGCGAAGCGAGCACCAAACTTTCTAATAACTGCTCACAACCTATATAAAATTAAACAATTGAAAATCAAATAACGCCGCAGAACCAAGAATGCGGCAATTAAAATCCAGATATAAGTATCACAAAAGCATTAAAAGATTTACATTTCTCCTACGATTGTGTAAAGAGAGAATGAAAAAGCTTAAACTTTTCTTAAATATCAATCATATTGTTAAGACGATGGAGATTAATACATTCATTGCAGCGGGCATCTCAATTTATTTTAAGTAATAACAAAAATTATAAAACACTGTGAACTCGATTACAAGTCGTAACAATGCACGTTTTTATCTACAAACGTACGTTTTTTAATTCTTTTAACAGAAGAAAAACAGTTTACGATAAACTAAAAAGTTTAATATAATGTACTCTGTACAAAAACAGATTATCCAATAATTTATTTTTTCGATGGCATTTTATTTTTGACCGATGTTATAATCGTTGTACTGATTCCATTGTACAAGCAATAGCCAAGACTGTTTTTAATGCAAGTGAAATCAATTCAACCATTATTGTTCCTTGACTGTAAGTTAAGGTTTATGAAATGAAAAATGCATGTAATGTCATGAATAGTGGGAGTAAAATGAAGAAAGAAGGGAGAAAAAGTCATGCGAATGATTAAAGAAAATGTGTTGTTAAACAATTCAATTGCTGCAGAAAAAGGTAGCAAATTGTGCGAGGGTGAAGCCAAAAATTTGTTGGCAGGACTTTTAAGTGTTTGTACTAGGTTAATGAACGTACGTACATTAGGACTAAAAATTGAAGCAAAATGCAAGCTAGTAGTGGCCATCGTTTAAGAACGTTTGGTTTTACGTTAACTGGACGATGAAGTAAGCGAATAATCAATCAATCAATCAATCAGTTTATTTTAACACGAATGTGTCTAGGATGTTACAAAAAAGATAAAACTTAAATGAATGTAACGCCTATGTTAAGATCTAGAGAAACAAGAAGGAATAAGACCCCGTAAACATGTATGAGAATAATAGTAAATCCCCTAACTCGTTCTAGGTAGCAGTAATACAAAACTATATGACATAGACAAATCTCCTTTATGTATGCTCCGTGCAAGTTCAAAAAACAACCAGTTTATAACTAAGAAAAAGAAAACGTACATAATGAAAGACAAAGAAAGAGTCTTATTTACATCTTGATGAGGACGGACGCTGTACGTTGGCGTTAAACGCCTTGAAAGCATATAATAGACTACGTGTATTGCATAATTGTACTGTTACAACTATGTCGAAGTCCTATGAAACCAGTGTCTATGTCGTACATACAGTGTGATTGATCCATACATAAAAAGGATTTCTCCATCATGTACAATTGGGGCGTTCTGGAGAAAACTCGGTTTTTGAAATGGTACATTACACCCGTCCTTAAATTTCATCCAATTGACTTCCATAGATTCAGAGGGCCTTATCTTAGGACCTATTTTTTGAGTTTTTGTTTATCTCACTTTCTTTCTAAGTTATAGGATTTTCAACATTAGAACCCAAGCGTCAAAAAAAAAATCTAGTGCCGCCCGATTTATCTAGATTACTAGATTTTTACTCGATTGCAACTACTGTGTAACGACAGTGGAAATTTAGTAATTGGGCGATTACTAGATTTTTTCTAGTTGCAACTATCGATTTAACACCCGATAATCGATCGATTTAACTATTACTAGATGCACCTGCAGATGCATCTAGTTAAAAGTCCCTTTTCCAACTAGTAATAACTAGTCGTGTATCGCCCGATTACAGACGAAATGCATCTAGATTTTTCCCGTAGGTGACATTTGCTTGGGAAAATCCAGGTTTCTAGAAGATTTTTCAGTATTTTTGTTATAACTTGAAAAGAAAGTGAGATAAACAAAATCCAAAAAATAGGCCCTAAGATAAAGTTCTTTGAACCTATGATAAAAAATTGAAAGTCAATTAGATGAAATTTAAGGGACATGTTGCTTTGGCATATGAACGATAAGGAGCGAAAATATACATGATTATATTTGTACATAAAATTTTGTATTTTTAAACAGAGTATGTGTAACAGTTACAATAAAACCACTAGCACGATCAATATCTGCGTGAAATAATTGAACATCAATAAATTCATCAAGATTAGAGAAACTTAAATCAAAATATAATGAACTGTTACAGTGGTTACAATAGAAGATTGTCTGTAACCAACTGGATCATAGAAATATAGTTTTGACTTTTTTGTGAAAAAAAAAGTATGAAAAGCTTGAACGAATGAAGAGATGTGAAAGACGATAGAAGATTGCATATAGTTGCATAGGAAAAATGTTTTTAAAGAGATTGAGTAGCCAAAAGTATTAATGTACTTTAAGAGAATATTTTTCTTAAGGTTGATATTGCGCAAAACCGACGTTGTAGTACAGTTTTGTATTCTGACACCCCCTGAAAATAGAATAAAATCAGAACAAAAGAACAAAATTAGTAAGAGCACTCGTACACACACAACGCTGTAGTGGTGGATAACCCCTGGATCAGGAAATGTATCTGACACCCACAGGACGCGCAGTAGACAATGATGCGGACATTTAGTAGAAAAATGAAAATGTTCATTTTTTTGTTCTTACATAGCCAGTAATAATCTTCAAACTATGGACTATCTTTTTCATACAGATAATTTTTCAAGTTAGTATATTGTGCTGTAAAAACTCGCATATGAAAAAGATCGAAAAGTACCGTATTTTAACGAAAATCAAATATTTTCTCTTAGATAAACATTTGCTTGACTAAAGTGAGATTTTGTTGGTCAGTTGTTAGTCATTTATGAGTACATGAGCAAACATTCGGGTTGTTTGAAGTTAAAATATTTGAGAAAATTGATGTTTTCCATGCAAAGAAAATTTCGCTCAAAACAAGTCTCCAGTGTAGTAAGCTTCCACAATTTTCCATTCTTCAATCAGAGATCAATTTTGCCCAAATCTTATTCTATCCACAGTACATTTATGTTCTTGGCGCATAAAAATGTGTGCAAATGCTTCTAGACTTCACGAGAAATTTCAAAAGTTCATGATTTTTGAGGTAAAATTCGTTTCTCTCAGCTAAAACCATATTCCTAATCAAAATAAAAATGCTTATTTTTTGTTTATAAGGTCTCAAGATGGTTGAAGAATGACAATAATTCATGGTTTTATTCACCAATAATTCTGATGTTCACATCATCAGCCAGAATGGGAGGATGGAAGGCGCCTTAATATTTCAGTCATTAAAACATGTCTCAAGGATCCACCATTCAATATTGTGTTTATTGAATTATTCAACATTAGATATTGAAACATTGTCTCAATACAGCAGTAGAATATACTTTTATTTAAATTTTATGATATAGTATGTCTAAGTGTCTAATAAGAAAGGTTAAAAAATGCAACAACCGTAAAATTAACGAAATATTCATTCAAAAAGTTGGTAAACTTTATTTGTTATTCATAGGTTTTTATGACATTTATCTAAAAGAAATAAAAAAGAAAATGAAGAGAATATAGTGAAGAAATATCACAAACAATATTTAAGCTAAACAGAAATATTAGATCATATTGTACAATAGAGAAAAACCGATTTTCTAACATATCTGATATGTTTTTTAATTCACTTACTTTCTCTTTCAAAAAAATGTCTTCTCCTATTGTTCAATCAGCAGAAGGCAAACAACTTTATCATATTGTTTATATTATTGATCCAAAAATACCGATAAAAGTAGAAAATAACAAATCATCTACTACTTTTACATTTAATCCAATTTATTTTTGTAATGAATCAGAAATTCAAAAACAATTAGATATTAAATTTTCTAAATTTAACTTTAAATTATTAATTATTGCTATATTCTCTATTATATCAGCATTATTCAATGTTGTAATTATTTATCGAAATTTTATTATACGATTCATTACTGGATATCAGCATAACACATATTTTACGTTTTTAGTTTACACATATGAATTTACTTTTCTTCATATAACAATTATCTATCTTTTAGCTGGACATTTAGCTTTCTATTGTAAAAAAAAGAAGAGAAATGACGGTTTTGGATGGTATTTAATAAATGTTTTCATTTCGTTATTAAATATTAATTTATTTAGCATCCTTCGATATATAACCGTCAAACGTTTAGTAAAATTTGTAACTAGACGTCGTCAAATGATGAAAACCAAATATTGTTTTATGCTATTATCTAAAATCTATTCTTTTCTATGGTCACTCTATTATATTTTTTATTCACTTATTTTACTTATACTGGTATTATTTTCAATTTTTGTTAAATTGAATCAAATATCATTTGTTGGACAATTGAATATTTACAATTGGACCATTAATGAATGGTTAATCTTCTTCTTTATTTTCAATAATCTGATGAATTTATGTCGTACTAATGAAGAAAATTTAGGTTTTTTATGGAATATGATCAATGTTACATGGAATACAGAAGAAGCGACATGGGTGAATGTTGATCAACAAGTCCATCAATTATATTTATTATATAAAATGATTTATAGTACAAACAAATGGAAAGGATTATTATATACACAATCGTTAGACGCTAAAGAGTTACACAATTTAATTCGTAAACCTTAGCAATTACTGGCATCTTACTTTTATTTTTTTAAACTTTTGTATTTTAATTTTGTATTTATGATAAAATTTTGACATTTTTCTTTATTTTTATTCTATTATCGGTTGCTCAACACTAACTCAAGAAACTAATCGTCAAATTAGATGTCTTTAACAAGAAACGATAAATGATTGGAAGTGCCTGTACGTCATTAGTAGAAGTAAATATAGACAAACCTTTGCTCAGTTTTCATTTTTGCATCTTCATTTGAATCGTAGTGAACATGTCCTTGAATAATACGGAAAGGTCCTAAGGGTGGAACTTTCTTGTTTTCCCGTTAATTCCGGTGACTTTGCTAGTATGGGACTTTTCGTAAATTGAATACTGTTTCATGAAAAAGTGTCCCAGAGAGCTCGAAGACGTTTTATTTCGTTCAGAAATGTTTGCTTCATATGACAATGATTTGCGAACAATTTCTAGATCGAACTCGGGGACTTGATTTTCTCAGTGTTGGATTTTCCAGAGACCTTTGTTTCAGGCGTTTTTATGGAATCTTTATATATATCACATCAGATTGCAAATTCTTTCAGTTGTACAAATTTTTTTCTAGTTTTGTTCTAGCTACTATGTCGATGAGGAAAATGAAAAAGAAAGGAGGACGAATAATTTTTGGACCCATTGTATATTTAACTTTTTTTCCTCCTGTCAAATGCTTGTGACTACTACAGCTATAAATTTTATAGTTGTACAGCGCTTAACACTCTCACATTCTTATCATATATGCTTTTCAATATATCAGCTAGTCTCTAAACATTAAACATGCCTGTGAGCAACAAACATCACACTTTTTTTTCGTAGTTGCTGGTAGATTATCAGTCTGAGAGCGACCAGAGTGCAGCTAATAAAAATTATTAGATTTAGATTGAATTGTTAGATCAGATATTTATTAGACACGTTGCTATCACGTTTTGTGATTATACAGCGTAATATCCTTTTTGAAGTTTTACGATTAGTCAACTTACTGTAAGTGTTGCACGATGTAGTTATTGGATGAGAATTTTCTATAGAGTTTTTAGGTTTAGCAGGAATTTTCGGTAAAATGTGTTTTAGATGCTGCTGGTTCGTGCTGATTTGAAAGCAGTGCGTGTTGACCTACCAATCAACATATCCGCGCTCCTGCATGTGTAAGATCGAAATTGTGCGCAAACTTAGTTCGGGAAGACAAGCAGAATAACCAGCAGTGATCATGAATAACCAGGCACTGCTTTCAAATCAGCACGAACCAGCAGGCATTTAGAACATATTTTAAGGAAAATTTCTGCTATACCTTAATTAAAATTTGCAGTTTTCCATGTAATACTACCAAAATTCGAGATTGAACGCGTCCAGTCTCGGCGAAGTCCAACTTAAGTTTGAACGCTGATATGTGCATACCTGTATGGATATGGGAAGAGAACGTGATCGTCACATATGTGATCAATGCACAAACAAACTCTCGATGATCAATACGATAGTTAAGATAGTGGAAGAATTTTAACACGATCTAGTTATGTATTATCACTAGTAAAGTTAATCTTTTTCTTTTCGTTGTTTTAATCTGTGGATTATAAAATCGAGCTGTTTTTTTCACACAATTGTTAACTCTTTTGGAACAAATAAACTTATTACCAATGTTAAAAAAAAAAGAATGCACAAACAAAAGAATAGAGAAAGAGAAAATAATTAGATTGAAAGTAAACGGGTACGAACTTTTAAAATGACCCTTAGCGTTCATTTAGAGCTTGAGTAATTAGTAATACTTTTGGTTTAATATGTTGAAAAGTAGTTTTTGAAATCATTCTATAATAATAATTTGCGTTTCTTCCATTTCGATGAGCAAATTTTGAGACAATCTTGTATTTTATTTTCTGACAATAATAAAAAAAATCATTAAAAACGCAGAATGTACTACATCACCTAGCTCATTAACGGACACAATTTTGTATTGAATTTCGATTCAGTCTGGCATGCAGGTTTACTTTATAAACTTAAGCAAAAAGGCGTTTCAAGTAGCATGTTGAAATGGTTCTCTTCTTATCTTTCTGACCGAACGATTGAAACAAAAATAAATGACACTAGCTCAAGTAGAAAGAAAATTAATCGTGGAGTTCCACAGGGATCCATCCTTGGACCTCTGTTGTTTCTTATTTATATAGACGATATTGTTTTGAATTTAAAATCCGCAGCTCGCCTCTTTGCCGATGATGTTCTACTACACGTAACACACAAATCGCTAAAAATCGCTACTGATATGTTAAATGAAGATTTGAAACTTGTGTATGAGTGGTCGGTACTTTAGCAGTTAGATTTGAGCGTTAAAAAATGCGGGCCAATGACCTTTAGTAAACGTTTAGTAGACACTTCTCAATATCCGATCGTAATAAATGAAGTGTCTCTTTCGGATGTGGAAAGTCATAAACATTTAGGTTTTCTCTTGACGCCGTAATTAAATTGGGGAAAACATATAGAATACGTAGTCGCGCGATGTAATAGGATTTTACATTTAACATACCAATACAAGAGTAAGTTTCAAACGACTGTATTAGATCAAATCTATGAATGTTATGTTTA